GCTGGTGAACTCTGTTTTTGTACCTTTTAGATGGTTTTCTGGAACTTTGTGTAGTTCTGACCAATCAGGGAGATACGCTTAATAGTTTGAAACAAGAGTCAATCATTTTGATGGTATGTTACACTCCAGTTTCTTTGTGCAGTAGGACCCGGTGCCTTTCGGTCTGGGCTGCCCTTTGTTCAGTGGATAAGACCAGGAGGCTGCTACATTCCCCTCTTCTGAGTAGAAAAAGCTGATGCAAATGAAGTTCAAACCGAATGATAAAAGTTGTTTATGTTTGTTGTCGGGGAGCCGACTTGTTCATGTAGAAGCCACTACGTACATTGGTGAAGCTTATCATAATTTTGTATGCACAAGAAAAAAATTCCTGATATGACAATCCATACAAGAATATAGTGCATAGACAACATTGAATAATCAACAAACAGAAGTGACAGTAAGTTCCATTTACCTTAAAGCCCCTGTGTGCGTGCACTGTATTAATTATCGTAAGCGTGCCAGTCTCTTGGGATATCTGTCTTTCGCAGCATGCAATCTTAAATGGCAATATCCTGAGGTTTATCAAAGTGACTGCAATCAGGACCGCAACTAGATATGACAGGAAGCAAATTCATGGATGACAGGTGAGGGGCACAATGATAGGGCCTGTTAATTCATATTTACTTAAAAAGTATTCCTATCCATGTCCCCAGTCTTTCCGCAGCATATGGGAGGGCGTCATAGTTAATTCATCCAACTACCATTTTTTTATAATTCTAATAGTTTTGACTTCATAGGTCCTCAACCCAACTTTGTAACAAATGATAATTAAAATCCTGAGCATCAAGCCCAGCACCTGACTGTGAGCATCCTTACAGTTGTCATTATACCACACCTTAGTGAGCTGGCCCAACTGACAGCTAGAGATGTTAGTGTGGGTTCTCTCCTGGAACAAATGTTCGAGCTGTTCATAGAGTCAGAGTCAGACAGCAAACATTACTGTTCCAGGATGGGTCTTTGCCTTGGCTAGCCTGCCGGAGGTCCTCCCTCAGCTGTTCAATCATCCAGCTTCTGTAGCTGCTGCACAGGGGTGCGGTTCTGCTGATCATCCCTGATTTTGCCCTGGATGATCTGGTTTATCATCTTGGCGTGAACTTCTAGTATGGTCACGAAGCAGTGGCTTCTCCATGGTTGTCCCATGGTGTCTAGTTGAGTGTCTGTATTTTGTCCTTCTGGGGCTCACTTGACTTGTTGGGTTAAGATTCTGAGTTTATTTTCCAAATTAGCCAAATCAAGGGTATTAACCGTGTGACACCTCTGCCCCATATGTTGTGGCCGGATCATTAAAGAGTTCCCTTCACTTTGATCTATTAACTGCTGGTGGGGGTCCCATCTATACTTACCGTGACGTCTGGTGGGTTGTACCATGGGTGTCTTGGGCACATTGTTTTCCCTTGTGCCCGCGCTACAGTTTTGGATACAGTCATTACAATAATATCTAACACACAATAAACACTCCGTACAGGTTGACGCACTGTCTTGGAGTATCCGCTCCAGTGCCCTAAAAAAAACACGAGCAGTTTCTGTAAATGTCTTGGTCTCATATCTGACAACCTATTCTGCATAACATTTTAAAATTATCAAATCATTCCAATTGTTACCCATTCATGTCCCCCCACCTACTTTTTGTAAATAAAAACAGGACAATAGAATAAATATGCCCCCTATGTAGATGGCAGGTTGTGCACTTGTGGCTGGGAACCTTTAAAACTATTGCCATTACGGGGTTGCCCCTGTCATCCCCATCATATAAGCCATGGCGTGTTTTTGTTCCAGCTCTTGCTGCCAGGATAGTACCCTGGATGTTGACTCTTTTTTCCCCAAACTTCCCAATGCCAGGTTGGAATTTTAGGAGCTCAACATTCCCGAATGAAATGGGCACTTTGGCCACAGCTCTCACACAGATCAGGTTTGGGAATCATTTGTGGGAGTTCCCCTCTTCTGGGGGTGGGGGACTTGTACAGAGGGGTAGTCTGTCTGGGAAGCCTTGGTGCATTTTTGCCCCTTGTTTCATTCCTCCAAGTCAGAGGGGGCCGATAAGAAGTCTGGATCGCACTCATGCAGCCTGGCTTTCCCGATAGCTGTTGTATCCTCAAGTCCCTCTCCCGTACAGCAATTCCTCCAAGTCAGAGGGGGCCTATAAGAAGTCTGGATCGCACTCATGCAGCCTGGCTTTCCCGATAGCTGTTGTATCCTCAAGTCCCTCTCCCGTACAGCAATTAATTTGCGGACAACCCAAGCCTCATTACCAGGAGGCTTCAGAGGGGTCAAATTTCAGACATGCATCCCTCCCCCTTTCTGAGGCATGGGAGACAAGGGTGTGGACCCAGTTCTTCCATTGTGCATCAATAAGAGAGGTACAGGTCATGCTGTTGAAAACATGGACTAATTGGACCTAGAGTCTCCGGGCAAAGCTGGTGTGGTGTTCCCAGTGTTGTTGTCGGCACTTGTGCAGAGACTGTATATGAACTGCCTTATCCTACCCTTGTTTCTGTCCTCACCAACACTCCGGGAGTAGGGACAACACTCGATACAGAGTAAAGTTTCTTCTACTCATTCAACCTCAAAGTAAACTAAAATTTAAATCCCCTCAGCTCCAACCCCATTGAACACTCCCAGGGCAGGGATAAAGTTTCTTCTTCTTTGAAAATAATTAAATTAAAGCCCCCTCACACTGACCCCGTCGAATCCCTCTGGCACAGGTACAACCCAGGGGGTTAAAATAAAAACTTCCTTGCTTTGTTCAAGGAGTCCAAAGTGTCTCTCCGGGGTCCAGGGTGTACTAACTAGATGGATAGAGACCCTGGCTGGGCAACAGGAGACAGAGAATTGTAGTGTAAGGGAGTTTCTCAAAATGGAGAACAGTGACCAGTGTTCCACAGGGATCCGTGTTGGGACCACTGTCGTTTGTGATAAACATAAATGATCTGAAGGAAGCTATAGATGGTCTGATTAGCAAGTTTGCAGATGACACTAAGATTGGTGGAGTAGCAGATAGTGAAGGCGACTGTCAGAGAATGCAGCAGAATATAGATAGATTGGAGAGTTGGGTGGAGAAATGGCAATTGGAGTTCAATCCAGGCAAATGTGAGGTGATACATTTTGGAAGATCCAATTCAAGAGCGAACTATACGGTAAATGGAAAAGCCCTGGGAAAAATTGATGTACAGGGAGATCTGGATGTTCAGGTCCATTGTACCCTGAAGGTGGCCACACAGGTCGATAGAGCAGTCAAGAAGGCATACGGCATGCTTTCACGGGGTATTGAGTACAAGAGTTGGCAGGTCATGTTGCAGTTGTATAGGACTTTGGTTCGACCACATTTGAAATACTGCGTACAATTCTGGTTGCCACATTACCAAAAGGATGTGGATGCTTTGGAGAGGGTGCAGAGGAGTTTCACCAGGATGTTGCCTGGTATGGAGGGTGCCAGCTATGAAGAGAGGTTGAGTAGATTAGGATTATTTACATTGGAAAGACGGAGGTTGAGGGGGGACAAGATTGAGGTCTACAAAATCATGAGAGGTATAGATAGCAAGAAGCTTTTTCCCAGAGTGGGGGACTCAGTTACTAGGGGTCATGATTTCAAGGTGAGAGGGGAAAAGTTTAAGGGAGGTATGTGTGGAAAGTTCTTTACACAGAGGATGGTGGGTGCCTGGAACACGTTGCCAGCGGAGGTGGCAGAGGCAGGCATGATAGCGTCATTTAAGATGTATCTGTCTAGATTACATGAATGGGCAGGGAGCAGAGGGATACAGATCCATGGAAAATAGGTGACAGGTTTAGATAGAGGATCTGGATCGGCGCAGGCTTGGAGGGCTGAAGGGCCTGTTCCTGTGCTGTAATTTTCTTTGTTCTTTGTTTGTTCTTTCTGCACAAGAGGCAAGCATCTGCCCCCCTCTCGGCTGACATCCTCACAGATACTCTCCAGACCCTATTACCCTTTCCAGCTCATGCCTTGCTCGCTCCAGCTTTAGAATAAAATACACTAAATAGTTTGAAATAAGAGTCAGTCATTTAGAAGGCGGGCTACTGTAAAGTTTCTTTGTACAGCAGTTGGGATGTCATTTTATATCTGTACAAGACATTTGTGAGGCCACATTTGGAGTACTGCATATATTTCCGGCCACTCAGCTGTAAGAAGGATGTTATTAACCTGGAAAGGGTGCAAGAATGTTACAGAGACTTGAGGCTTTGAGTTATAAAGAGAAGTTGGATAAAGTGGGATTTCTTTCCTGATTGCTTCCGAGGCTGGGTGGTGACTTTAGAGAGGTTTACATATTTACGAGGCTGATAGATAAGGTGAATAGCCATGGCAGTGGAATCTAAAACTAGAGGACATAGGTTTAAGGAGAGAGTGGAAGGATTTAAGGGGGACCTGAGAGACAATTTATTCACACAGAGATGGTGCATCTATGTAATGAGCTGCCAGAGGAACTGACAGAGATGGGTAAATTAACATTTAAAAGATGTTTGGGCAAGTACATGGGTTGTAAAGCTTTCGAGGTTTAAATGCAGGCAAATGGGACCAGTTTGGGAAACCTGATCAGCATGGATGAGTTGGGCCGAAGGGCCTATTTCCATGCTGTAGACCAATGAAACTCTGTGATTCTAACTGGAGAAATTATATTTGGGATGGCCGTTTGAGAGTAAATCCACACCTGACATGTTGGAGTCTTTGAAAGCCCAATTGATCAGAGTTCAAGGCAAGCATATACCTCTGAGGATGAACGATCAGGCTGACAAGATTCTGGACCCTTGGATGACGAGCGATGTTGTACGCCTAGTGAAATAGAACATAATGTTTCAGAAACAACAATTAGACAAGGCCCTTGGTGTATAAAGGGAACAGAAAAGAACTTGAAAAGAAATCAGAAGGGGCCATGAAATGTCCTTGGTAGGTAGGATTAAGGACAACACCAGGCATGTTATAAATCTTTTTTCTGAAGAAGGGTCTAGGCCCGAAATGTCAGCTTTCCTGCTCCTCTGATGCTGCTTGGCTTGCTGTGTTCATCCAGCTCTACACCTTGTTATCTCAGATTCTCCAGCATCTGCAGTTCCTACTATCTATGTTACAGAATCCCTTGTGATTCTGTACAAGTGTGAAAACAGGCCATTCAGCCCAACAAGTCCACATCAACCCCTTGAAGATCATCCTGCCCAGACCCAACTCCCACCTTATCCTGTCCTATCCCTTTAACCCTGCATTTCCCATGGCTAATGCATCTAGTCGTCACATCCCTGAACTCTATGGGTAATTTAGCATGGCCAATCAACCTAACTTGCCTATCTTTGGACTGTGGGAGGAAAGCGGAGCACCCAGCGGGGACGCACGCAAACCATGGGCAGAATGTGCAAACTTCACATCACCAGTCGACCAAGGTTGGGATCAAATCCAGGTCCCTAGCACTGTAAGGCAGCAGTGCTCACCACTGAGCCACCGTGTTTGAGATTATATAGCAGATTCATTAACAATGTTCGACTTTCCAAACCAAGGGTGTTGAAGCCAATTTGATCAGCTACTCATTGTCCAAACCAGTTGCAACTGAATCACCAAGACCATTACCAATTGCAACAATCTAGGAACCACGTGCCATTTGCCACTTGTTTGCCCATTTTCCTTGCCTTTCTACATCTTTCTGCAACTTCCCCACTTTGTCACCCGTACCCATCCCTCTAACAATCATCATGTCATCTGTAAACTTGGCACCAGTGGCCTCAGTTCCTTTGCTCAGATCGTTAATGTATAACGTGAACAGTTATTGTCGCAAAATGGACCTGCGGAACTCCACTTGTCACCAGCTGCCATCCTGAAAAAGACCCCTTTATCCCTACTGTCTGCCTTTGCCAGTCAGCCAGTCTAATGTTTTGATGGAGATCTGTAGCTTGGGTAGCGGTTGGAGTTGTTGGTTGATTCACCGAGCTGATTGGTTTTCATGCAAACGTTTCTCGGTGACTGAGAAGGGAGACAAAATGTTTGCACGGAAACCAGTCAGCTTGGTGAAACAACCAAAAACTCCAGTCAGCCAATTCTTTTCCATGCCACTAACTTGCCTGGGCTTACCATGGACTCTTATCTGGTTTAGCATATTTCATGTGGGGAACTTTGTCAAAGGCCTTCTGGAAATCCAGGTAGATCACATCTGCTGGTTTTCTTTTGTCTAACTTGATTATTACTCCTTAAAGAATTTATTTTTGATTTGTCAGGCATGACTTGGCCTTGACAAAGCCATGCTGACTCAACCCTATTTTATCATGCACTTCCGAATAATCCACAATCTCATCCTTAATAATGGACTCTAAATTCATACCAATGATTGAAGACTGGCTAATTGGCCTATAGATTCTTCGTTACTTAAACAGGGGTGCTCCATCAGCCATTTTCCAGCTCTCTGGGATCCTCCCTGACTCCAATGATTCCTGAATGATCGCCACCAATGCCACAGCAATCTCCTTCAGAACTTCGGACAGTATTCCATCTGGAGTGATTTATCGACCTTCAGACCTTTCAGTTTTCTGAGTACCTTCTCCTTCATGATGGCCATGACACTCACATCTGTCCCCTGACTTTCTTGAAGTTATGGTATGCTAATGGTATCTTCCACTGTGAATACTGGCATTATATGCTTTTCATTTTGCTTTTATGCTAACCCTGAATTCCTTTGTCAGCCACAGTTGCCTCATCCTACTCTGAGCATGTTTCTTCTTCTTTGCAATGAATTTTGCCTGTGCTTCCCGAATTATCTCCAGATACCCCTGGTCCGATGTCTTCCTTGCTAGGCTTCCCTTCCAATCAACTCTAGCCAGCTGATCCCTCATGTCACTGTAGTTACCTTTACTCAATTGTAGTACTGTTACATCTAATTCAATCTTCTCCCTCTCAAACTGCAGTGTGAATATTATGGTCACTGATTATTAGGGAGCTTAAGATGAAGAGCCCCTGGCAGTGTCTGTCTCATTAAGGGTGGCACAGTAGTTCAGTGGTTAGCATTTCTACCTCACAATGCTGGGGAACCGGGTTCGATTCCACTCTCAGTTAACTGTCTGTGTGGAATTTGCACTTTCTCCGTGTCTGTGTGAGTTTCCTCTGGGTGGTCTGGTTTCCTCCCACAGTATAAAGATGTGCAGGTTAGGTGAATTGGCCATCCTGGATTGCCGATAATGTCTAGGGATGTGCAGGCTAGGTGGATTAGCCATTGGAAATGCAATATTAGAGGGTAGGGTGTGTTGGGATGCTCCTTGGAGAGTTAGTGTGGACTTGATGGGCCAAATGGCCAGCTTCCACACTGTGATTCATTTTACATCACCAAACCCAGAAATGCCTGTTCCCTATTGGGCTCTATTCCCAAAAGCCATCTCGTAGACATTCCTTTTCTTGAGAAATACTACCAATCTGATTTTCCCAGTGCACCTACATATCGACACTTTTGCCATAGTGCCTTTGTTACATACCTTTTCTATCACTTGATTTTCTGCCGCAAATCCCAAACACTGCTAGGAGGCCTGTTTTCACATGTTCCTCAACTTGACGCACACAGATTCTGTCCCTTCCAACTGTATATTACTTCTTGCCATTGATTCAATTTCATTTCTAACTGGCAAGACAACACCACATCCCTGTCCATTGGCCTATCCTTTCGAAAACACAGGTATCTTTGAATATTTAGCTCCCAGCTCTGATATCCTCGCAGCCACATCTTTGTGACACCCACAACATTGCGCCTGTCAACTTTATTCTGCGATTATTTAGCTTGTTTCATATACTGTGTGCATTTAAGTACAATATCCTAAGTCCTCTGTAGACATCCCCCCAGCCCCCTTTCTCATAGTTGTCCCCATATCTACTGTGCCTAAAGTTTGATTCCTGACACTTCCTGAACACTCCGTCCTATTAATTGTTCTGGAAATTTTAATAAACTCTACTGTGCCCTCCCCTCCTTTAACTTTTTCATAATTTTCTATGCAGCTGAACTTACCCTCCACTATTTAGTTTAAAGCCCTATCCACAACCATAGTTATATGACTCACCAGGACTCTGGTCACAGCATGAGTCAGGTATGGCCATTCCATCAAAACAGTTCCTTTCTTCCCCACAACTGGTGCCAATGTGCCACGAATTCTGACCCGTTTCTCTCACACCAATCCTTGAGCCATGTGCTCATTTCTTTCATCTTGTTGACACTGCAACAAAAAGCTCATGGCTCAGGTACTAACCCAGAAATTACCATGTTTTTGATTCTGCTTTTCAAATCAGCTGCTCATGTCCCCTTGTCAGAATCTCTTTCCTCTTTATATCTATACTGTTGGAAACCTATGTGAACCATGAAAACTGGATTTTTCCCCTCCTACTCTAAGTTCCTCTGCAGTCCTGATGAGATATCCCAAACCCAGCAGGCACCAGGCGGCCTTCAGAATTCTCAATCTCTGCCACAGATGACAGTGTCTATTCCCTGACTGTACTATCCTGATTACAACTACACTTCTCTTTCCTCCTCCTTCTGGAATGTCTCCCTGTACCACAATGCTGTGGTCAGTTTGCTCATCCTCTCTACAGGCCACACTCTGAGCCACAGAGGGAGCAAGAATCTCAAACCTGTTAGATACGCTCAAGGGCCAACGCTCCCTAAGCACTACCTCCTGGATTCTCTACTTGCCTCATTGGAGTCACATTCTCCCATCCCCGACTGCTGACCAAATTTTTCACTGCCTTCTGAAACACAGCTTCCAGGTAACTCTCTCTCTCCCTAATGAGTTGCAGTGTTCGAAGCTCAGACTGCAGCTCATCAACTCTGAGTCACAGTGCCTCAAACAACTAACACTTATTACAGATGTGGTCAATGTGAACCACAATGCGGTCCTCCAGCTCCCACATCATACAGGTAGAACACATTGCCTAGCCCAGCATTTCTGTTTTAATTACTCAATTCTTAATTTGATGCTCTGGCTTTGACTGTTTTCTGAGAGTGCGAATTCCACCCTTGGGCAAATATATTTCTATTTATCTGTGTCCCCAGTGGTTTACCCTGTCTCCTTAGATAGTGACCCTTAGTTCTGGACCCCTTCACCATTAAGAACATTCTTCCTCCATTAACGCTGTCCAATCTGTTCGAATTTCACAGGTCACTTGGAAGTTGCCTCTCTAATATTAATCTTAGAATGACTGGGAGGAGCTTGCTGCCCTTTGTTCAGAATGGAGCCAACGCATCCATCAAGCTCTCTTTATTTTTCAGGCCCAGTGTCTTATTGGTGAAGCAGAGCAGTGGCACAGATGGAAGGAGGACACAGATCCTGCTCTCTGCATCCCACGACCTCACGGAATATCATGTGTCCAATGGCTTCATTCAGTCACCAAAAGAACTAGAACAGAAACTCATGACCCTCAGTAGACATTACTCTTGTATTGAGAGACTGAGGGGTAATGCGCAGTGCAGAGTATGCATGGTCATCCTGGGTAGGAGCAGGGGATGACTTGAATTTCTATTCGAGACTGACCGTGATAGATTTTTAAAAACAGCATAGTCAATTCAAGAGAACAGTTTATTTCTTCCGAACATTTATTCCTGGTGCGCAGTGAATGAATTTATAAATTTCTTTTACAGAATGTTCAAGGGGGCTACACAGAGCTATCACTTGCTTTTGGATATTTCCTCAACTGTCAGATTTCTCTCTGACTGCAGTGCTTCTTATATCTTTCCAGTTGCAAGTTTCAACAGGAGATTTTCAAATCAAGAAATTAAGTAGCTTCAGAGGTGAGTCGTTTTGACCATTGGTCTGCTCTTTCTC